TCTTCTAAACATCCTATGCAAAAAGGAAACATGCTTGAAGTTATATAATGTAAAGTGTGCGATGCAGGAACAAACAATAGAATGCACGTGGAACAGTAGTAGGCAAAACAGGAGCAGTATAACATGCTATACGAAAAGAACAGTAGCAAGTAGAAACATGAATAACATAACATGTTGTACGATACGGTAGCAGGTAGAAACAAAAATGGTATAACATGCTGTATAAGAAGAGTAGTAACAAGTAGAAACAGGAAAATTAATTGCTGTAAAATGTAAAGCAAACTTGTACGCCCGTGAGATCCGCTGTTCCTTAAGTATAGCAAACCTAAATGCATCTCAAAAAGCAAATTCCGAAAGAAATGTCGTCCTGGAAACCCGAGGAAAAGCGGAGAAACTCGAGAAAATCAACGAAAAAGACTCAAGTAAAAGAAAATTCTTAAAACTCCCGGGGAAATTCTAAAAGAAAGGAAAAGTAACACGAGTGCCCCGTCCCAAAACATCGATAAAACAAAGAAACAAAATTCAGATGGGGGGCCGCAAGCACTCGTATGGGACTAGACTCAGCTATATTTATTCTCGAGGATCCACGAAGGCTACTCGGTCACCCGAACGTATAGAGTCCGCCACTCATCTAGAAGTGTGTCTTGAACCTCACTTAGAGGGCTATTTCCCAGCCTAAACAGGTATTCGTCAGGTGGACAACCAACTTTTGACATACACATAAATTTTTAAACATGCGAAGAAGAGTTATCAATTTTTGTTTCGTAAAAAAGTATATTTTTGTTTGAAAATGGTTTATCAAAATTTATCTTCTTTTCTTTTTTTTTAGAAATTTTTGTTATCCACGAGTCGATTACGCTGTCAGGCATAGCGAAGGCCTCCCAACAACCTGAGGAGGTTCGAGCCAACTCCCGCTAGACTTATGTTATATCCTATTGTTTATCAAATGTCTGAACCTTGATGTTATAGGATAGGACATCTTTCTGCTCTATCTTCGATGTGCCTTTATCATCAACACCGTACGCCCCAAAACGACTACTTGCGACCTTGTTTGATGGTTTCACGTATAGCAAAAGGTTATACGTGGACACTTATGCATCGGACATAAGCATCGAAAATCGAACCAAGAAGCAAGGAAAGAAAAGAACAAAAATAAGGTG